ACTTGTCTACCTACCTCAGTTGTTAGACTTTGGAACATGTATAATAAAGAACCTAATTATAAATGTACAATGTTGAAAAACATTTTCCTATGTAAAAATGTTTTGTCAAGACGTGGAGATAGATTTTTTTTTTACAAGGACTGAAGCAGTAAATATAACAGATTTAATTATTTATTTTATTAACCCAGTGAAAACTTTATTTTACAATTATGAGCTTATGACACTTGCTGATATTGAAACAAAAAGAAACAAAAAACCTTCCACCTGTTTCTTAATCTATATTTACCCCTTTTGGCTGAGATGGCATGGCATACATACCATATCCACTTTGGTTTAGTTTACTGATTATGTTTACACATAGATGGCTCCACAAGTACCCAAGTCACCAGTGAGCCACTAGTCCTGTACATCTCACATGTCTACTCTTTTCCATGATTTTTGGAAATATTCTTTATTTTTTAATTGCCATTAATATTTTTTAACATATGATAATGTCAATAATAATAACAGTATCAGTTTTAATAGCATTTGAAAACAATTTTTTTCTAAAAAAATCAGGGGATGGGTAAATCAGCTTAGGTTATAATAAGCTACTAATAGACTCCTTGGTGGCTGAGAACTTGTTGAACTATATGTGTGTGACAGAAGTCACAGTGGCCATCACATATATCTGCATACAAAGCGTGAAGTAGAAATAAAAACACAATAGACCAACAATCTTCATTAGAATTACTTGCAATACTGGTAATTTAGTTTTGCAATTTTTTAAATTGATTATTCTCATTTATGCCTTTTCAACATGTCAGTAAATTCTTTTCATAGATTACAGTGTTTGTTTTGGATAATTACTGACTGCATTAAGGCTGAATTGGCCAGCTGATGTCATGTCATTCATTCCCAAGTTGCTCTGCGATTGTTAAACATGTCAACAAGTCTGAGTGGACTTATATATATGAACTTTTAAAGGCCAAGGTATAAAATAGAAATTAATCTGTTATATATTTTTATGGTATCTGACAGCATGATAGTAATCATTCACATCTGAGGCCCCCCCTCTGTTGACTCAGCTTTGTCAAAGTTGGGGCGGAAAGGCACTGGTCACCCTACCACATCCTATGGCTTTGTAAGCACATTCTTCTACAAACATTTGGATACGGGACCAACTTTGACCTTTTTTGTACAAGATTTAAGATTATTTGTTTCTTCTTTTTGGAAAGGCTTCTTCTTAGGCTTTGGTATCAAATATTTGCTCTGCAGTATGTAGTTATTATATTTCAAAGTATGTAGTCCCCCATGCAGTTTGCACATGAATAGTTAACAAAACTGATACATTATAATTTGATTATGTTTTAAAAGGGTTTATTCACTTTTAAGAGACTACACAGAACATGATGAGACTATTATAACATGCTTATCCTTTACTTGTCATAAGCAGATGCATAAAAAAAATCATTAATAAATAAATACACAATATATGCATAAATATTTTTTTTATTAATACTTTCGTAAGTTCTTGAAGCAGCTGCTGGAATATGCACACTGTCTCCCGACATGAACTTTGATGGATGTAATTCATATATAGTATGTGCAATGTTTTTATAAAAATAGGGTATCAGCCAACATCCAATACAAAATAATCACAATTATCTGGAAAACCCTGCAGAATGAACTACCATACAATGCTGTAGGTGCCTGATTTTCCTTTTTTTCTGATTGATCTCCCATAAGAGCCTTTCTACATCTTGTGATGCTTCCCTGTTGGATACATGACATGGGATGACAAATTAGTTCCCAGGTTTGTTGCCTTCTTATGTAGATGGAGGTGCATTTTCTGTTCCCCTCCTTGTCAGATTTAAACTGCCCATGTGTCTGTTATGCACGGCAGACCTTAATGTGTTGAGACAAGAGGCAATATGATTCAGCAATGCATGGCAGTCCTGCAGGTATCACCAACCTGTCTAGTCCTATTCCTGTAAGATAGGTAGTATGATCCCAGCATGTTCAGTCACTGCACTAGTGTTCCCACAGGTTCTGTAAAATCTCTCACAGTGAGACTAGAACAGTATATATCCTGCCTTTAAGACTTCAGTAGAAATTCAGTTATTACTTGAACATTTTTCAAATTGACAAAAATGCTCTAATGAGGTACATCTAGTTTACTTTAAAAAAAAAAAAAAAAAATAACCAGTTATCATTCACCTCTCCACTCTTCATTTCTGAGTCATAGTAAAGCAGTCTCCAGAAAAAAAAATGATTTCCTTGATGTTCTATATGCCACATGGTAGTATATTGCATCATTTCATATTACCAGTTAATGAGAGGTATCTGGTGATCATGGTAGTTATTGTTGCATGAAGCATTGTAGAAAAAGGGTAATCTGTCTTCTTGACACTATACATTCCTTTTGTCTCAAATTATAACCATGCTGTAGATGTCTCCTTTTATGATTAGTTTGCATGCTTCACAAACGATGAAGGACAAAAAGAAAGACCCCACCTGCTACTTTGTGCTGAGGCACATGAAACAGGTTACTTCTTTCACCCCATAACTCCTGAATTCACGATCATAATATGAGATTGAGGTTGCTCCAAGTCATTAGTGAAAACAAAAGATCCAGGGTCACAAATTTCTTTTACAGTTTAATTTGTAGCAATCGACAGATACATGAAATTAAGTCCTCAAGCACTTACTATGGGGTGGCTCCTCCATAAAATTGCTTACCATATTACAATACCATGTGATATTCTATGTTATATGCATGTTATATTAGATGCAATGTACAAATATTTTATGTAATTTACACAAGCTTATGGACACAGGTTTCACACAACCATGAAGAACAAATAATGTATATGAAGCACCTGTATTTACAGTACATAATTATCAGTACATAAGTTTAAAAAAGATGTTTCAAAGGAAATATTTCAGTGCTAACTGCAATACCTGCCTACAACATCTGCATATCCCACAATAAAGGTTTATACCCATTGTCATACTTGCAGTGCCTGCTTACATTAAAATTAGCATGAAACATTCTTGTTGAGTGATAAACCATCCTGTTTTCTGCTTTTAAATAAATCTAAGTACTGTTGATAAAACAGACAAAAAATTGTGTGTGTGTGTATGTGTGTATGTGTGTGTGTGTGTGTGTAAGTGTGTGTGTGTTTTGTGTGTGTGTGTGTGTGTGGGGGGGTGCATTTAATACATTAAAATCAGAAATTTAAAAAGTAATCTATTTACTGGAAGCAACTAATGATACACATTGAAAATTCTCACAGAATTTTATTCATACATTAATAAGCTTCATTAAACAAAATATATCTGAACAAACATGACCATATATCTTTATCTCCAAAAAATAAACTATACATAACGTCATGCAGTAAAATTTTTAATCTAACACAAATCCTTCACTTATAATAGACAGAAAAATGTATCTAAGAGATTTTCGTCCATGAAAAATTAACTCAATCACTTAAATTAAATGTTAATGCTCATTTTTTCCATACAGTCCATAAAATCTATACATCCGATTTCTGAATAATTACAGTATTACAATTAATCTTATGATTAAATGTTATACCCATATAAATTTGTTTGGCAATATCTTTTTTTTTTCTCTCTCTCTCTCTCTCTTTTTCTTTTTTAACTAAAGTAGGATTCAATTATTATTTTTAATGCTTATCAGTACACCATCATCAACACTATCAATACATAAGAAAAAGAAAGAAAAACAAAAAAAAATACTGCAATTAGTAACAAATATTACTATCAATAATCTTACTGATAATCATGATTTATATACAAATATGCTTATCGAAATATGAAATTCTGTTTGTGTCTATTAATTCCTCTAAACTTTTTCATATTCATGATGTAGAAATAATGCTGTACTAAAATCTTAATGTATAAATGCACTAAAATTTACATTCTCATTAAGATAATGACTACCTTTACAATATATATAGGAATGTATAAAACATGAATGTACAAATAATGGTCCTTACAATGTTCCTTATTTAGGCTAATACAAAGTCATCCAACAGCAGTTGATGTCGGAGTAATCCTGTTAAAATGAATTCAGTACCTAAAACCGGAATCTGCAGTTTCTTGAATGCACCCCACTGGTTTTTATCTTCCGGGCATGAAATAATTCTCATTTCAGGGGAATACCTCTTCGGTGGGACATCCATGTATATGCCACCAGAGCACACAATTATCTCTGAAGATTGAAAAGGTATAAATGTTATTGACTTTGTGTTGCCAATTTTTAATATTACTTGTTATATAATAAAGAAAAGATACGAAGGCTGTGCACAATTAGTCACACCAAAAACAACTGCCTTAAATTAAAATTCATCTAAGACATTGCAAGGATGCACGGGAACCCTGATATATATTTTTACACATGTATATATGTACATATACACATACACATAAACATACATATATATATAGACATACATATTTATACATGCATACATACAACATAGTCATATAAAGCTTGCATGTAAAAAGTGGACACCTATATTCTGATTAGGATAAGAATTTGGAGATAAAACTCACATAAAAATGGGGCTATTTTTGTCTAGAATTAACCTATTTCCTAACTCTAAGATCCTGTATAATAGAGAAATAATATTTTCCTACCTTTCATTTGGTCTGGTGGAGGCTTCACTGATTTTGTCGCATGAAATGATAAGCCTTCAAAAAGTAGGCTTTTTCTAGCTGACTGAAGACTCTGATCAAGCCGAAAGGCAAACTTTTTCTCAGATTCTGTATCCTTTACTATATATTTCCAAGGATCTGGAAGAAGTTTGAGATTACCATAGATACTACAAATGTTAATAAGAATATACTGTATACTCTCCATACAACTGCATAAACATGTACGCATGCAGACACACACACAGACAAAAATAGTGACCAGATTGGTTTGAGGATGATCAACCTAATAAGTGTGAATGGGATAATAGTAGCAATAATGAGGGCATCAATTGTTTGGTGTTACTATTAGATACACATAATTGACGTTAGGGAAAGCCTTCAATTTTTTTCAATTATTTGTTTATAAACTCCAGCTACAAATACTAAACATGTGGGGTGCAAATGTTGATGGATGCCAAAAACCATGTCACTGTCCACTAGCCAATCTTTAAGAATGACATCACTGGGCTAATGACAAACCCAGTAAGGAAATGGTTATCTAAACAGTGTTAGAGCAAAAGTGGGCAAAATCAAGGATAACCTCAAATATGGATTTACTACAGATGCAGAATGCCCTTGTGGCAAGGCAACCTAAGACAATAAAACCACATCCTCCTTGGGCACCCACTAGGACCCACATGCTCCAATGAGCAAACAATAATGCCTTAGATTGGGTAAAGCATTAATGTGACAAAAAAATGAATGACCTAATGCTGCCAGGAATATGTAATATTCATTGTAGTTTTGCTTTGTTAAGTGTTTAAAAATAGATGGCTCCACAAGTGCTTAACCACCTAAAAGTCAATAAGTATACCTTATGACCTTATCTGAGTTCCCCTTTCCTTGTTTTTTCCCCCTAAAGGTATTGATGCTGTTATCATTACTGATATCATAATTAATATATTCTTACTGACAATACTATTGGGAATATAAAACAAAAAACTATTAAAAAAACAAAACAGGAAAATGGTGAACAAACAATACATAGGACTAGTAATTGACTCCTTGGTGATTAAGCACTTGAGGAGCCTTCTAAGTCCATGTACAATAAATAAATTAAACTCTCAAAGGGCCTGGCAAGGATGTACATGTCTTTCCTGTGATGTCATGAGATCTGAAAATATCTTAAGAACAATAACAAATGGTATTATAAATATAGTAAGTAACATTATATATCATTCAAAGATTTCTCATTCAACTAAATTATCAGTTTACTACTATTCTAATTCATTATAGATCATTAACAAACATATCTATAACTCACCAACAAAGTTTCTTGCTAATTTTGATGCTGACAGCCACTGCGGTGTGACGATGGGCATGCCTTTGCCAATGACTGCCAGAAGCTTACAGGTCCTTCGGATATTCATTGTAACAAGCACTGAACACTCTTTTGGAGATTCCACAACCATTCCACCTTTGAAAATAAAAGCAGATATACATCAAGAGCCTACCAAAAACACAAAAACACACACACACACACACACACACACACACACACACACACACACACACACACACACACACAAAAAAAAAAAAAAAAAAAAAAACACAATCACACACACACACACACACACAGAGTGAAAAAATAACAATTTACCTAAATCTGTAACAATTTTCTCATCCTGCTGGTCCTTGTAACCAGTAAAGAGGACTTTGGGTCGTACGTCAGCCTGTTGTTGCCTTTGTGATGGCGACCATAGGATACCTTTGCTATGAGGTGAATCCTGTAATAAACACCATAACAAAGAGAAAAATCTGCATGAACTTCAGGAAGAAATCAGTTTTCAAAATGTAGAGTATAAATTCAACAACAGTAACTGAAATGCCACAAAAAAGTCATATGAAAACATTATGACTCAGATAATTTATACAAAGTCAATATGCTTTCAAAGTTCAAGGTTCAATAAAAGAAATATCAATAAAGAGAAATTTTAAACATACCATTTTGGTTCTTGTTCTTGCTGACTTTGGTGTCAAGTGTATATCCTCTGAAGAATTACTATTTCTTCTTGCCCTCTTCCTGCCCTGTGAACTTTGACTCTCTTGGCTTGATGACCTCTTTGAACTTGACTCACTATCTGAACTCTCTTCAGCTAAATTTTTCTGTTTTTGCTTTCTTTTATCTTTAAATTTCATCTCTGAATGCTTTTCCTCAACAGAAGTACATACTCCTACGTCCTTATCTTGTGATCTTTTTAGTCTCTTTGATTTACTTGGTCCATCATTCTCATCTTCCATCTTCTCAGGTATCATACTCAATCGCACTTGTCTGGTAGATCTAGGACCCTCTTTTACAGTAGGATGTGATGTAGCAATACTTGCTCTTCCTTTACGCTGAGGACGACTTGTCTCTTCAGATTCTTTCTGTACAGATTTAATTGTCAATTTCAAGCCAGATTTTTTTTCAGAATCTGTTGATCCATCCACTTCCTTCGTCTCACTAACGACCCATCTGCGTGCTCTTTTCTGTTGCCCAGCTGTCTTTTCTTTACTTAAAGTTCCTGTATCATTATCCTCCGTTTCCCTCGCCTGTTTCAAAATTCCACTCTCAAGTGACTTTTGAATTGCTGATCTACGCCCTTTTCTTGAAGGTTCAATTTCAGTTTCTACACTTTTATTCTCAGATACAGAAATATCTTCACTACCTTCCTTTGACTTCGGAACTGCTGGTCTACGCCCTTTTCTAGAGGGTTCAATTTCAGTTTCTACACTTTTATTCTCAGATACAGAAATATCTTCATTACCTTCCTTTGACTTCGTAACTGCTGATCTACGTCTTTTTCTTGAGGGTTCAATTTCAGTTTCTACACTTTTTTTCTCATATACAGAAATATCTTCACTACCTTCCTTTGACTTCGGAACTGCCGATCTACGCCCTTTTCTAGAGGGTTCAATTTCAGTTTCTACACTTTTATTCTCAGATACAAAAATATCTTCATTACCTTCCTTTGACTTCGGAACTGCCGATCTACGCCCTTTTCTAGAGGGTTCAATTTCAGTTTCTACACTTTTATTCTCAGATACAAAAATATCTTCATTACCTTCCTTTGACTTCGGAACTGCTGATCTACGTCCTTTTCTTGAGGGTTCAATTTCAGTTTCTACACTTTTTTTCTCAGATACAGAAATATCTTCATTACTTTCCTTTGACTTAGGAACTGCTGATCTACGTCCTCTTCTTGATGGTTGTACTTTCACTTCTTGCTTTGGTGGCTCTTCCATGCTGTCTTCTACATCCTTCGGCTGCATTTTCTGATTTTCACTTTCAAGCAATTCCTTTGGCTTGTTCTCTACACTAGTTCCTAGTGATTTATGTTTAACAGCTTTATCTGCTTCTTCAGTCATGACTTCATCTGACTTAGCAGCTGCTGATCTGCGTCCCCTTCGAGGTGGTTCAACAATGATTTCTTTTTCCTCTGTCTCCTTTTTAGTTATCTGATTGGTGCCTATGTTCCCATTCCCTTTTGACCTACCAAATGCTGATCTGCATTGTCTTCTCTGAGAATGCACATTCTCATCCATATGTACAATGTCAGCAACAGTAACTCTTGTTTCCCTGTTTAATTTACTTACTTTTTCTGTTTTATCTTCCTTTGGGTTATTGATTGTGGATCTGCGGCCTCTTCTGACAGGTTCCAAACTTTGTTCCTCAGCTGCTGCAACTAGATTCTTTGTTTGTGCAATACTGGCCCTACTTGTCTTTCTCTGTACTTCCTGTATTTTCTCAGTCTCTAAACTGCTTTGCTGAGCTTGTTCTTCTATTTTTGGTTCCTTTAAAGTTATAGGAGCTGATCTTCGCCCTCTATTTCCTGAATCTTTTTTTACTTGCTTACCTACAATTTCTCTACTGTCTTTTCCTTGCAAATTACCAACTCTCTCAGGCTGAATTTCTTTTGTCTGTGGAACTGATTTTTGAAGTCCCTTTTTTTGAGAGTCCACTTTGTTTGGATCAATTTTTGAACTCCCTAGTCTTGCTGATGAAGAGTCCGTTTTCTCTTCTCCACTTACCGGGGTTGATGATCGTGCTCTCTTTGATGGATGAACATCTACATGTTCTTCCATATTTTTGGAGATGTTCACTGTTTTTCCTTTTGATATCACAGAAGTAGATGATATATCAGCATCCTCTGAATTTCTGTCTGGAGAAAATCTTCTGGGTTCTCTCCTTATTCTACCACTCTTTGTCTTCTGCTCTGTAGTAGAGTCTAACTCTAGGGTCTGTCTCTTATCCCCTCTTCTTTCCCTTGTTGTTCTACTACACTTTGTCTCTTCATCTCCAACCTCTTTACATTTATCAGACTTTTCATCAGTTTCCTTCTTAATGATCATATTCCTAATGTCATTTTTTCTTTGAGATTCATTGGGACTTTGTATCTGCTTCATTAAAGTTTTTCTTGTGTTTATTTTGCTCTTTCTTGGTGTTTCCATTTTATTTTCCTTTTGGATATCATGTTCATTATCTCTAGTTACATTTTCTCCTGTGTTTTTTTCAGTTTTTTGACATTGCCCTTTATGAATTTCTTTGTCTTGTTTCTCTGTTTTGTCTCTTCCCTTTGTGTTATGATCCTCCTCCTCAACTTTCTCTTCATTATCAGTCTGTTCTCCCATTCCCTTACTGACTTCTTCCTGAGAAAACTCAAATAACCTTTGTGAAACATTACCTACATCGTCATCAGTTTCACTGTCACTCAAAATTTCTGCAACCTCCTTTACTTTTTCTGACTCTGATTTGCAAGTCCTGCTATCGATACTATCACTGTCATCACTATCTGAAGAGTAAATTTTGACATCTATGCAGGGAGAACCTTGTGCAGACTGGTTGTATTTAGCTGCCTTCCCTACAGACTTTGGAACTACTGTATCAGAAGCAACCACCTTGGAAACCCTTGTGAAATGTATTCCTGGTTTTCCAATAGCCACTTTGTCCTGTGCTTTGGATAATTGAGATCCATCATCTCCACACCTCTGCTCCTTTTCCCCATCTAATGCCTTGTCTTTCTGCCCCTCTAACTCTTGATGTGATTTTACATTTTTCGGTGACTGAGTGACAGTGCCACTAACTTCAGGGATGATATCTGAGTCAGAACTCAATTCTAAGCGAGACATATTACTTGTTTGTAAAATACTGGAATTATTTGTCACTTCTTGAACTTTTACAGTGTCTTTGGGAGCTAACACTTCATCTTCCATATCTGTACTTTCATCTGAATAGTAGTTCTCCTCTTTGGTCTCTTGATCATCTTCCTTTAGTAGACAGTCTTGGTAATGTGGCTGTGTGGTTTGTTCTAACAAATTTTCTGACACTGTGGAGGAGTTATCATCATCATCATTCATGTCAGATGCCTTATAATCTTCTTTGCTTGCTAAATCTTTTCTTTCTGATGATACTTGTAAATTGGACTCATTAGCCATACGTGTTTCATCAATATTAACATCTACATTTAGACTAATATCCTGAGTTGCATCTGCATCTAATTTATCCCATACTTCACTTATACCTCTTTGTGGTTTAGTAACAGGGGATGTTTTATCTTCAGGTATAAACAGCTGTGTGGAAGCACAGCATTCTTCATCTGTGTCATTAGCATCATTTTGAAAGAGCTGAGTTGGAGCAATGTTCTCAGCACTTTTAGAAGGTGATTCTTTATGAAATACCTGAGTTGGTTTGTTACTGTCCTGAACTACAAGTGACTCTTGAAAAATTTGGGTTGGTGCATCTATATCATCTGGTTCACCATGAGTTGATGTATCTTCAGAGGTTTTAGGTGTATTTGTACTGTCTTTTGGTATAAATGGCTGGGTGGGCGTAAGAAAATCATCAACCAGTTCACCTCTCTTTGGTGTTAACACATTTGGAGATGGTGCAGTAAATATCTGTGTAGGTGGTAAACTATCATCTTCACTTAGTGCTCCTTCATCTTCAATTTTTTTACCATCATCTCTTCATTATCCTCCAGCTGTGTTGGCATCATCAATGTCTCATGCTTGCAAATTTCAAAAAAGTCATCTATTTCATCATCACCATCATCTTTTGTTATATTTTTTGGAAAAGTCTCACGAACACATTTTGTTGGTCTTTCCAAGAGTGATCTCTCAGTATTTTCTTTTCCTAAAAATGGCTGAGTTGGCTGATTAAAGTAATCATCTACATCACTGTCATTGTCATCTCCCTCTAATTTGGTTTCTGGCTCCTTTTCTTTGCTTACAGCTTTTTGCTTTGGATCAAACTTTTGAGTTGGAGGAAGGTCATCACAGTCTTTATCATCAGCAACAAAAGCTTGGGTTGGTGCTTCTAGATCTACTTTATCATCAGCAACAAAAGCTTGGGTTGGTGCTTCTAAAGTGTCTTTATCATTAGCAGCAAAAGCTTGGGTTGGTGCTTCTAAAGTGTCTTTATCATCAGCAGCAAAAGCTTGGTTGGCTTCTAAAGTGTCTTTATCATCAGCAGCAAAAGCTTGGGTTGGTGCTTCTAAAGTGTCTTTATCATCAGCAGCAAAAGCTTGGGTTGGTGCTTCTAAAGTGTCTTTATCATCAGCAGCAAAAGCTTGGGTTGGTGCTTCTAGATCGACTTTATCATCAGCAACAAAAGCTTGGGTTGGTGCTTCTAAAGCGTCTTTATCATCATCAGCAAAAGCTTGGGTTGGTGCATCTAGATCGACTTTATCATCAGCAACAAAAGCTTGGGTTGGAGCATCTAGCACATCCTGGTTGTCATCATTGAAAAATTCATCTACAATGTCATCACTTGAAACTGTAACATTAGAATTACTTTTTCTAGACTTGGGAGCAACTGTAAAAGGTTTTTTGAACACTATCTCATCATCATCATCCAGGAAAAGTTGGGTGGGAACATAATCATCATCATCTTGCTGTTTTGCCTTTGTTGGGTTCCCTTTTACTTCAAATGGCTGGGTTGCAATCAATGATTCATCATCAGAGTCATCATTTTGAGCTGCATTTTCTGGATTAGATTTCTCTGGAAATATTTCAAATGCTTCCATTATATCCTGAGTATTATCAGGATCTCCCTGAACAGATGTCGATAATTCACTGACTTTTTGTTTTAACATCTTTGGGGATGGATTTAAATTGGGAAAAGCCTGCGTGGGCTGATTAAAAATATCTTCCTCACTATCAGTATTTTCATCACTGTTGTCTTTACTATCAACAAAGGATGATATTTCAACTATTTTTTTCCCTAATATTTTGTTTGGAGACTGGTCTATGTGAGTAAAAGCCTGAGTGGGCTGGTTAAATATATCTTCTTCAGCGTCTGTATTTTCACCATCTTTGTCATTTGCATGGACATTTCTGTCCTCTTCAGTATTCATTTCAGGTGTTTTTGATTCTGGCTCTTTGCCACTATCCATCTTCTCTTTATCATCCCTGGGACTATCAAATACTTGAGTGGGAATGTCGTCCTCTTCATCTCTAATTGCATTATCATCATTATTTCTTGAGCTTATGCCTTCTGAGGTTGCAATTTCATCTTCATTGGACCTTTTATCTGTTTTATCCTTGACAGGTTGTGATGGATCAAAGAAGAAACTGTCTTCATCTACTGCACCAGCACTCATATTCTGAAAAAGTATCATTAATATTAAATAGAAAAAGCCAGGCACAATGCCAAAGCATCCATCTAAACTGGCAGTGATTCTATTTATGTAGAGGGATACTGGTCAAACATATCTGAAGGACTATGCTATTATACTTCCATTATTTACATATCATCTGGTCAATGAAAAAACAAACAAACTTTTATATCACTAATCCAGTCAAGGGCAAGGCAA